TTTGCGTCAAAATACGAACTTCTCTAATCGCAATATTCTTTTAAAATGTAACCGCTTTGGAGTATTTAAATTAGGTAATAGGATTATTTAAATATAAAGTAAATATGGGTATTAAGGCTGTCATGGATATTGTGGTTATTGTTAATATTATTTAATCCATAGCTACCCCAATACTCAAATTTACCTTATTCAAAAAAACTTGTTGATCTGTATTATGAAAACTTACACTTGTATCTTATATTTTATATCTTTATATAGAATCAAATGTAAGTGACAAAGAGGAACCACAGGATGAAATGGATTCGCAAGATGAACTGGATTCACAATATGAAATGGATTCGCAAGATGAAATGGATTCGCAAGATGAAATGGATTCGCAAAATGAAACGGATTCCCAAGATGAGAGTTATCTGCAAGATGAAATGGATTCACAAAATGAAATGGATTCGCAAGATGAAATGGATTCACAAAATGAAATTGATTCCCAAGATGAGAGTGATCTGCAAGACGAAATTGAGCAAATTGGAACGCTGGACGAAATAGGAATGCTAGAGGATAACTACGTAATGGAGGAGGATGACAATAGCGACAGTAATAATGATAATGTTATAGATGAAGATCAGATTGTTGACTCACCGATGGGTATAAACCAGATGTTGAATACTGCATCATACTTTGAGAATCCGACCTCTGCATTACTATTTTGCTACATACAGAAGCACAATATGTGTAGGTTTTTATTTAATACAATAACTTAGGCCAAGCAATGTTAATTTTTTAGTTCTCATAACTCGGCTAGGTAAACATTTTACTAAAGCTTAAGAAAAAAAGTTCAAGCGTATTTATTACCCAGATGGTCTTTAAAAATCAAGTCAAAATTTTTATATGCAACTTTTTCAAAAGATTAAAAGCTGGGTGCCGGGTTTTTTTAATTTTATGTCGTGAGAACCAAAAAATTAACTTGATATGTCCTTATTATAATTTTAAACCGTAATAATGACTGATAATATATTTTATAGCAACAGGCGCGTATAATGATCTTGTACGTATATTACAAAATCCAGCTTTCAATGTTGGTGATATTGTAACGAATGTAAGAAGATTTCGGCGCT